GACTCTCTCTTCATATATATATATATATATATATGTGTGTGTGTGTGTGTGCGCGCGTGTGAGTTTGATTGCACTGAATCGTTAAACTGGCAGTCACTATGTACAGTTCATCCTCATTTACTATGTACACACACTACACAGATATTATCTCTCTCTCTCTCTCTCACACACACACACACACACACACACATATATATATATATATATATATATATATATATATATATATAGTGTGTGTGTGTGAGGCAGTGAATGTCTTACATACATACATACACACACACACACACACACACATATATATATATATATATATATATATATATATATATATATATATATTATTCTTTCGGATTTACTATATTTATAGGCAAGAGTACACAATATCGAAGAACGTTTATGGATATAGACAGTGTGGGTAGAGACATCAACACATGACATGCAGTATTAATATATATACGCCTTCCACATAGACTCTCTCTTTATATATATATATATATGTGTGTGTGTGTGTGTGCGCGCGTTTGAGTTTGATTGCACTGAATCGTTAAACTGGCAGTCACTATGTACAGTTCATCCTCATTTACTATGCACACACACACACGCTATATATATATATATATAATATATATATGACCACTGATGAAAAACAATGATTATTTTAAATATTTATTATTAGCTGTCTGAACGTATAAAAATCATTACAATTTGAGGTATTATTTTGAATATTAAAATTTACTCATATTTTTGTATAATTTTCTTGTTATTGACCACCTGTCCATTCTTTTTCTTTTCTAGATTCTTTTCTTTATAGGCTCTTTCAAACAGGAGAAATCCAATGCTTATTTTCGTAGTTTACGATCTCTGTAAATAATTAAATGCACTTTATTCCAGATAGCCTGATAGAAATATAACTTTATAACTTTTTAAAACTTATTCAGTTATTAACAAAACTAAAAATAATCCTTAGCCTAAAACGCCAACCTTACAATACTGGATTTTTTTTTTACAAATTATACATTTCAGTGTGTGTATAAAGATTTTGAAAGCTATACCTGCAATTTTCACAATGGGGACATGGTTACCAAGTCACCCGGAACTTTACTGTAATGAGTTCGATACTTATTCAGTACACTACACTCGTAGCCTCGAAACACGCTAGACTTAATAAATACTCTGTAACTGTAATGTAAAAAAATTAATGAAAATAAAACGTTTTACTATATCTTGTTAATTATTTTTCCAAACTGCAAAAAAAGGATTTAATCGAACAAAAGCAAAGAAAAAACTTATAATTTTATTTTTCTGTAGAGAGCAGAAAAAATAATACGTCGTTTGAATTGAAGTTGCATATTGAGTGTCCGTCGAATTTAAGGAATAAATCGAAATGATTTGGTAAGAAAATAAACATGATTTATTAAAAAGAAATACAACTTGTTTGAAATTATTTTTAAGACATTAAAAATAGATTTATTTGGCAGCCAGTATTGTTTAAAAAAATTTAAGTTGCATATTCATTTGTCATAATATGTTAAAAATTTTAAAGACCACAAGATACAACCGAAGAAGGTTGAAGAATATACCGGTCAAAAGGGTGCGTTAAAAACGAGACATGACAATCATCCGCATAAAACACGATAAACGAGGACATGTTTTGTTATTGAAATATTAAAATAAGAAACTTTTATGACATTGTTTCCAAATTTATGGAATGTTCAGGAACATGATTTTGCACATTAATAATCTTTCATTTATTTATCGATATTATCTGTATCAGCTAAAACTTTTAGTGAAAAGCAGTTTATGTTTTGTCCTGAACTATAAAAATCAAGCAACAAGAAATATAAAAAAAGAATTGTATTTTTTCGAATTATTCCAACTGTTAAGGCAAAATTTACATGTTTTTTTTTGCGCGTGTGAATATTTTAGAAAAAATATAAATAATGATACATCATGAGGTGAATTTTTAAAATTCTTTTTCATATAGACTAGCAAAATAACAAATAAATTATCTTTTATTAATAAGTTTATCTGATTGTATATATGAGATGAACGCATTAATACATGTATTTTAGTGTAAATGAGTCGATTTGATCCTCTCAAACAAGAAAAAAAATGATGTAATCAATATCTATCTATCTATCTATCTATCTATCTATCTATCTATCTATCATATAACCAAAATCATTAGCTCCAAATATCATCTAAATATTACGTAAGTTTAGAACAGATCCTTTGCACAAGTTCCTAACAAAGAGAGAAATATTACTTTCATCTCATTCTTTAAAAAGTTTCATAACCAGTCGATATTGACACCGTAAAAATTGATTCATTCGAAGGCAATCATCATGAACGTCCTTGTAAAAGAAAACGCATAAAGTTGTATTTATTAAAATTTAATTAATAAAAGAAGCATGGGGACAGTGAGAAGAGAAAATTTTGAGTAATAATCCTGAGACAAAAATGAAATTCATTCCTAGAAAAAAGGAAGAAAAAATGTATACACACGTGGCTATGATGTGTGTGTATATGTGTATATATATATATATATGTAATTCTTGACTAATATATCTCTAGTTAAATTTGTATCTCATAATTTTGTACAATTCAAACAATTATTTAAACATATCTGCTGATTACTTATTCTGCCGACTCTATTTATAGTTCCTTTTTAGTTTTATCGAAACATTTTGACGTTAAATTCAAACTATGACAAAAAGTAAGAGAGTTTGAAAGAATCAGTGAAGATTAATTTTAAATATATGCAATTTTTCATCTCTGAATATAAATACAGTTTTCTTCTTTTTACAACTACCAGTTGAACTCTCATCACACCTTTTTTTTATATTATGCGGTGAATTTGTTTGGAATAAAAAGTGTCGTAAACTTAGTTTGCTTCAGAAAAAATATAATTGCAAATTTTTGAAAATTATCTATCTTTTGAATTTATGAAACTGAAAAAGCAAAAAAAAAATAAACAATAAAAGCCAAGCCTATTCGGACTACGATGTGTTTAAAAGTTTGCCATTTTATTTGAAAGGAAAATAAAAAGAGAAAAACATTCGATGATCTTTTATCATATCTTGAAAATTTTGCTCAAAATTACAATTGCATGTATATTTTATGCACAATTACATACATATTTTATGTCAATGCGTGTACACACACATATATATATATATATATATATATATATATATATATATATATATATATATATATATATATATATATATATATATATACACACGCATGTACGTAAGTCAGGTCTAATGAAATTGCAAACTGATTAACTTGTTTTTTTATTTAGCGTTCGTAATAAAATAGTTAAAAAAGTTATAAAATTAGTAATCATTTTTTATGAAATTAATTTAATTGTAACATTTTTCAATGTCTGCTTGTTGAAGCAGGACTATATTTTTTTACAATGTTCATTTCAATTTTCGCAATAAAGAAAATTTAAATGCCTTTTTGTATCAATACGTCTTTGTGTGTGTATGTGTGTGTGTGCACTTACTTGCTTCCTTGATTTCTTTAAATAACTTTTTGGCTTTTAATTCGAAATTAAATTAAAGTAATTCAAGATGTATGGAATTCATCAAAGTCTCGTTAATCCTATCTAAGAATTTAGAAAACATTTTTGATTTATTTGGAAGGCGACATAAAGAAGGAAAAACTTTTGCATTTTGAAAAATATTTTTCATGAGACAATTATTTGTTCTTCTGTAAGAAATGCATTAATTTCTGGAATCATTCCAGAAAGGAATTTGAATTGTACAAATCGGAAATAAGTTGTAACTTTTAAAAATCTTACAAAAACTTTCAACGATCAATAAAAACAAAAAGAAAAAAAAAAGAGAAAAAAAAAGAAAAAATAAGCGAGCATTTTCCGGTTGAAGAGAAATTTCATTATTATCATTACGCTACTACTACTACTACTACTGCTACTACTACTACTACTAATAATAATAATAATAAAAATATGTCAACAACAAAAACGAGAAAATAGCCAATTGTTTATCCCATCAAAAAAAAAAAAAAAAAAAAAAAAATCATCACTTAGAAATTTTTTATTAACAGTTCAAGGGACATTTTTTTCATCCTATCTTTACCGAAATTTTCATCATAACCTTTACAAATGTTGTGTATGTTTGAATTGCACGCATAGTGATATATGCCCGTTCACAGACAATTTAAGGAATAAATACACGTGTGTGTTATTAAGTTAATTATGAAATATTTATGAACAAATGATAAAATTTATATAAAATTATTTGGATTTTCTTTCGTCTAATTATCAACATTAACTTGAAGCAACGACTTAAAACATGCAGATCTGCACAATTGTAGATGTAGAAATACAATGCTGAAAAAATTTAAGTTATATCTCCATTTTTATGAACACTTGTATGAAATTCATAGCAGAAAGTTTATCTTGTTTTGATTGGTTTCTCAAATTTGAACATATTCCGTTACACACGCAAACACAGAATGTAATGAGCCGTGGGGAAAGAAAAATCGAGAAAAATTTACTAATAACTAAATGTGTTTTTTTTGTCCGTCTTGGAATAGGCGTCTCTATTTGGGTTGGGATGCAAAAGTTTTAAATTTGAACAATGCACACATGCGCGCATGTACGCAACAGAAACACACGAATGAAAAACAACTGGACATAAAAACGATTTTTTTAAAATTATTAAATTGGTTGTTGTACAATATCGGCTCGTTTTTAATGTTGAATGTACAAAAACAGGTACGGAAGTTTAAGAAGAAAGCGTAGGTAAAGAGTAAAGTGTAAAGGCATGCAACCTGATTGAGAGTTCATGTCGGAGGCATTTTTTGTTGGTGTTGTTGGTAGTAAGGCAAAAAAAACAAAAACAAAACAAAAAAAAACAAACAAAAAAACAACAAAAACAAAAAAAAAAACCCAAACAAACGCTTAAAAAAAAAAGAAAGAAAACTGATTGAACAAGAAATGTTTTGTGATCAAGATAGAATTGTACTCACCTGGAATTCGTACAGTCCTCATAGAGAATATCAAATTCTTTGCAGGATAAAAGTTTGCATCTGTTAACTCCGGGCTGTATGGCTCCAAGTCCTCGAAGAATTCTCACTTGTTCCACATTACATACGACAGGTGTTATATCAAGCCGTTTCAGTTTTGTGTAGACTGTATGCAGGCCGCCGACCAGGTGTTTGAGAAAAAGCTCAAACGCTTGTGGCAAACAAATCAGTTCAATACCGTTGACCATAAAAGCGGCCACTTTGGCTCCACGATACTCGATCAACTTACAGACATTATTTTCAGGGCTGTTAGCAATTGGTGGTGGGGAACTGTAGGTTGACGGTTTGCTTAGTTTGCAGACCCCGGCGGCCCCGGCAGCGGCCGCTGCAGCCGCCGAGGACACGGCGGTCACCACACTGTTGACCAACATATTTGAAGGTGGGACTGGAGGTGGGACTGGAGCTGGGCGATGTTGCTGTGCTAGTTGGGACGAAACTGTAGGTGAGGACGATGTCGCCAAGCTCGAAGAAGGCGGCGACGACGACGACAAAGAAGAGGAAGAATTGGCCGAAGAAGATATTATATTGACACCAGTCCCTAGGCCACAACCAGAGACGACGACCAGAGATCCGGTCGGTGAAGAAGTGTTGTTGTGGGTGTTGTTGTTGCTACTGCTGCTTATGGTGCTGGGATGGAGGTGGAGTGGTTGGTGGTGGTGGATCTGTTGATGGTGGTGGTGGTGGTGATGGTGGTGGTGGCCGTGATGACTGCTGTGAAGAGCCGTTGAAGCTGCAGCGGCGGCGGCGGCGGCGGCAGTACTAGAAGCGGCGATAAGAGGTGAAGATGATGAAGATAGACAAGAAGTGTTATGATTTCGTTGCGACGGAGAAAGATGGGCAGGAGGTGGTTGTAGAAGAACTGATGTGGGTGATAAGGTGGAAGATAATGGTGCTCCAGGTGCTAATGGAGGTGAAGGTGATGGAGAGGATGAGATTGTTTTGTTGTTTCCTGTCGTTGTGCTTATATCGTCGACAAAGTTTTGATTTGGATGTTGAGAAGAAATTGATAACCCTGACGGTGAGGCTGATCTGGGTGGAGGGGTTGGACCCTCGCTACTGCTCGTACTTTCACTGCTACTAAGACTGTTATTATTACAGGGAGATTCGTTAGCAGAAGAAGGGCTACTTTTCTTATTGTTTTTATTATTATAAACACTGGTGCTGCTATTACTACTGTTGCTACTACCAGCAGAAATAGCTGTCCTGTTTGCAGTGGTCACAAGTTCGATGTCGCTTGATTGATCTTTGATGCCGGCAATTGGAGAAGTAGGTGTCACTATACCCGATGTTGTAGCCTCAATTACAGACGGGCTTGTCAAACGGGATGACTTGTTATTATTTGATGAAGATTCGTTTACCGATTTCGTAGAAGATAATAATGTTGATGATGATAATGATGCTGAACAAGATGATGATGACGACGACGGCGCTGACAACGTTCCACTTAAAGATGAATGAAGAGGTAGTGGTGACGTGTGGGAAGTTGCAGAAGGGCCAGTAGCTACAGTCGTTGAGTTCGGGGAAGCTACGATTTCCATTGCAAAATGACCATCCACAGGAAAGCACGACGTGCAAATTACTTAACAAAAAAAAAAAAAAAAAAAAAAAATGGTGGGGGTAAGCGAATAATTCTCTCTCCTAATGACCAAAAGTAATAATGTATTTATGTGTAAGAATGGCTCAATGCTCTGATGTGTACGTATGTATCACCTTGATTAAAACAACAATTGTACGTATTTTTCCTTCTGAGGGAACCTGTCCTTCAGAATAAGTTTCAAGTGGTGAGCGTGTGAGAGGAAAAGCAGGCATTCAGCTGATTGTTAATTTGTAGGTGAGTTTCTCTACCTTTGTCACAGTCTGTCTGTCTGTGTTTATCACTGGGTTGCTGTAGTTTCATATCTTATTTTGCTTAAATCATCTTTTCGCTTGTTTTTTTTTTTATATTTGTTATGTGTTTATATTCAACTTGCCCCCATTTATACGCATGTGCGAATGTTGGCACCGAAACGCATGCATCGGTGTGCTCGAATGGAAAGCTTTCTTTGTCAAGTTTTTCTTATAATCTTTTTTCGACTTTTATTTCAACTCTTTTCAAATTTTCGATATTTCTTTCTTTTTTTCTTTCTTTTTTCTTTCCTTCCTTTCTTGCTTCGTTCGTTCCTTTCTTCCTCTGTACGGTGAGATAATAAAGTACGATGTCTCTATGTGCTAGGGCCACGTTTGACTGTCAGTCGGAATGGAGCTAGCTAGGGCAGGCCGTCCAGTCGGTCGGTCTCTCGGTCGCTTGGCCTGCCGTAAGCAGCAGCAGCAGTTAGGAGTGCGATGGCGACGACAACGACGATCATGACCAACTTGAAATGAGAAAAGGAAAGGAATAAGCAACGCCAAAGGGAGAAAAAGAGAGAGTAAAAATAAAATGGAGTGAGAGGGGTTTGCCAATGAAAACATCGACAGAATAAATGAGTGAAAAGAAAAGAAAACCGCGCGTGAGAAGTAAGAGACATTGATGGGGAGGAGGTGAAGGGGGAGGAGCAAAACAACTAAAGGTGGAGAAAGAGGGAGAGGGAGAGGGAAAAATTATAGGTATGAAGTGAATGTAGTGTAAAAAGTAGATAGTACCAGGAGGAGATATATATTTTGGTGTTGTTACATAAGTGACAACACAAGAAAATGTAATAATCGACAGGCAGAAGGAGAAGATTGTGTAGTTCCGATCAGAATTTCATTGATCAACAACTGAAAACTTTCTTTCAACATTCGAAAAAAAAACAGGTAAAAACGAATGGAAACTAAAAGAAAAGAAACCACAATAACAAAAACAACAAAACAAATGATAACTTTTTCAGTAATTCTAATGAAATCGCCTATCAAAAATGGTACACATAATTGCGTTTGAAACATCTTTGATTGTATGCAACCAGTTCAGGTGATGTTACAGCTGTCAAATCTTTTTTTATGGTGGATGTTTGAAATTTATTGACAACAGCGTAATGAAAGGAGGGAGGGAGAGTAAGAGAGAAAGGGAGAGAACACACTTTTCTAAGATATTTTTTGTACCTGCAGCTATATTAAATAACAGAAAATGAAGTTCTTTTGTCTTCATTTACTTTGTGTAGTATGAACTACCCAGAGGTAGGTCGGCACCGACAGAATCATTTTGAATAATGAAGTTCGTAGAGACGCATTTCTTTGAACCCTAACACGCAAACAATATAAAATATCTTAAATAAATAACACATTGAACAATTAAATTTTACACAGGTGACTTTTTTCAACAGAAAAATATAAGAGCTGTATCTGCAGGAAAAAGACTTACTTATTTATCCATCAAAATTCAAATTGACTTTTTAATGAAATCGATGTTGTCAAGATGATTGTAAAAAGTTACTTCCTATTTTAAATTTCTTAATTTTGAATTTGTCAACGAGAGTAGACATTAAAAATATTCACTTTTCATAAGTAAACAGTTCATTTATGTATAATAATAATGTTACTAGAGAACAGAGAACACCCACCTACCCACAAACATCTCTCTCTCTCTCTCTCTCTATATATATATATATATATATATATATATATATATATATATATATATATATATATATATATATATATGAAGAAAAAGTATTCGATTCAACGAAAATATCTGTCTGTTTAATTCACACATAAACATATATACGCACAGATAAATTTGCTTTTTGTGTCACACAATGGAATAATAAAGTCTATTATTTTTGCCCCCAGAAATTATCTCTTTGTAAATAAATAATGCATCAGTAAATTCTTAATATTATTTCGGTTGGCTATTTTTTTAAATAACAGGAAGATATGAGTTTTCTTTAAAATAATTTATTTAAAAAAATCAAAACGCAATCAATGATATTTGAAATGATTTTATTAAAAAATTGCTACTCTTATTTGCTTTTGATAACAATCATTATTTTGTAAGAATTATTCAATTTAATTTGAAATATAAAAGCTTAATTTTAGAAATGCGATATCATTTGTATAAATACGTGTATATGCAAGTGAACGTGTTTATGTGTATGAATTTAAAATTTACTAATATACACGAAGTGTTGTTCGGTCTGTACACTTTCACAAACTGTAACCAAACATTAGTTGTTTGAAAACTTTGTCGGTAGGACCGAGAACTTTTCAGCAACACTTATTATAATCGAATATATATAATATAGTTTAATTACTTAAATTAGCATCAATATATATTTATATACGTTCAGTGACATATTTGCATTATATTTCATCATATTATTTGTAAACATTCAGTCATATATATATATATATTTATATACAATATGAATATATATATGTATATATATATATATTTATATATATATATATATATATATATATATATATATATATATATACACACACATATATATATATATGTGAGTGTGTAGAAACAGCTCGGTTTAGTACTCTTATTTTTACGCTTATTACAAGTCTTAAATATTTTCACTTGTTGGTTTTCATATATATATATATATATATATATATATATATATATATATATATATATATATATATATATAGTCCGTCCCTGTGCACCAATTTTATACTTTTGAGAATGTATTGTGGCAGAGGGGTGATTGTAAAACCCTGATACTGTACATTCTTTGGTGTTTTTACATACGTCTGACTATAGGAGTTGATTACATCCTTGAGTCTGAAATGAAGATTTGTCCTTTTCATGAAATGCTTACCAAGGAAGGTTAGATAAATTTGTTCTGCTTTTAGAGATCTCATATGCATTAGTACAGAATTTGAACCCGTCCTGCCGATTCCATTTTACGCGCCTTTCACCGTTAGGTCATCCTCACTTTTATATATATATATGGAGGGCTGAAAAGTTCTTGATCCAACACTATTACCAAATTCTGACCAAGTGACCAAATATCAGATTCTTTTTAAAATCCGTTCTTGGTTTCAACATCCACTCAGAAGGCATTGGGCAATTAATGTTCAAACCCTACCCAGAAAACAGGAAAATGGTTGGGCAAAAAGAAGAAAAACAGAAAAATTCTTAAACGAAAAAACTTTCGAAGGTCTTCAAACAAACGTGCATTATATATATATATATATATATATATATATATATATATAGATGAAATTTATAAATATTTGTCATTATTTGTAAAAACAAAAGTATGAAATACAAAACTATAAATCAAAGGGAATATGACTGAAATTAAATAATTGAGATTTGCCTTGAAATGATTAAAAATATTTTTACATTTCACAAAATGTCAAGTAAATTCTGTTGAAGTATTTTAGTACGAATTGAAAAAAAAAACAACGAAAGATTCTTCCGTTTCTGTGAAAATTCATCCTTTTCATCTCGACTTTTGAAATATTTAATAAAAACGAAATAAATTTAAAAATGATTTTCACTGAAATTTATTTGAAATATTAGAAATGAATGATTAATTAACTTTATTTTCATATTAAAAATGGGAATTTAGTATAATCACATTAGTAAAAAAACTCGTCAAGAAATATTGAAAGATGATTATTGATGAGATGGTGTAGCGTTTTGAATATGAACTTTTATTAGAAAATTTATTAGAAAATAAATTTTACCAATTATATCATTTATAAAAATAAAATAATTAATATTTGTTTTTTATTGCAAATTGTAGCGTTATTTATCAAGACAGTTTCGCGATAGAATGCAACAGTGTTAATTCGTCTGGTAGAAATTGATTTGAGTATAAAATGTTGCTCTATTGATAAGAAAGAAACATTTAAGAATACCCATATCGCGTCCACCCAAATGCAATGCGACCAATTTGGTAATGGAATTTGTTTCAGCCCGATGTCAGAATTCGACGCACGGGCCAAAATTGTTGCGTATGTTTTCATCAATCCCAGCAGCAGCGTTCAAGACACCCACTCATTGTAAAAAGAATGAGAAAGCGAACAGGAGGAGGAGGAGGAAAAAGAATAAAAATAGACTTGTGATTGGCTCCATCAGTTTTCCTACTTGAGAAGGGAATATTGGTGACAAAGTTTCAAGTGATATTACAATGAGATCTTTGTCTTTGCGGGGTGGGGGATAAAATTGAAAGTTTGGGAAGTTTTCAAGGATTTCCAGATATCCTTATAAAGTGAATAACACTTATATAGAGAATAAAGAAAATGGAGGAATTCATTCAGGTTTCGTGGGGATGCAAACTCCGAATTTACAAACCCTAAAGATCATAAGATATGAAATTAATGTTTACAATAAGAAAGAGTAAATGACAGGATATTTCATGAGTCAAATAAATCGTGTTTTTATTGTCGTTTTTCGTCTGTATTGATGTTTTTTCAATTGTTCTTCTTAGAGTCTGTGGATGCCTATCAGTTTTAAAAACTTTTGTTCACGAATTAACTTTTCATTATTTATTTAATCAAATTGTGCATTGTATCGTATTATGTTTGATGAAACATTCTATGATCGTTATTTCATGTTGTATGTCAGACTATTTTACATAGATAATTATCTTATATATATGGGATCACTGCAAAAATT